AGCATACACAGAACAACTCCAGACACCGCGGCGGTTCAGCTGGCGACGGTCTGCGAATGCGCTGCCTGCAATCCCGCGGGCACCCTGGATCCCCGAAGCTGAGACTCCACGGAAGGGACAGCGCAGCGTCCACTGGAGAGGCTGAGGTTGCCCCACAGCCAGTGGCCGACACCAACTCTGCAGAGGAAGAGGCCGCAGAGGGCAGAAGTGGAAGTGAAGACGCTGCTGGTGGAGGTAGAGGCGGGTGCCTGGGGCTGCCTCTGTGTCCCACGTAACTCATCACAGTGGCCAGGCTCCATGCCATCTTGGGAGGCCAGAATAAAAGGAAGGACGGCTATAAGGAAGGAGGAGGAGGCATAGAGGGAATTCCCAGAAGCAAACAGGCACTTGGAAAACCTTCAGGAGAAAGGAAAGAAACAGGAGGACGTGGATCCCAGGGGTGACGGGGCTGCCACCAAAGCCACCACCAACCCAGGCCAGAGAGCAGTGACCAGAGAAGGGCATTTCTGTGACCAGTACTTGGTGGGGAAGTGAGGAGCCAGACGGGGTTCCCCACCCAGCAGCGAAACCACAAGTCCGCGAGCCACACCTAAGTGCTGCGGGGGGTCCACACACAGGCACTGCCACCGAGCAGGTGACAAGGATGAGCCTCAAGTCAAGCCCACAGGTGCACTCACACTCTGGAGTCCTAGACCCGAGCTCTGAGAGATTTCAGAGTTTGCAGTGTGGATACTGATATCATTGACCAAGTGGGGAAAGTAAAGGTGGCAACTTTTTATTATGAGACTGGATATCAGAAAAACGTCCTCTCTTCACAGTAAGAGAAAAGAGTCACACACGTTTCAAAAGCCGGTTATGTGCAGATGATCAGACAGTCACAGATATTCTGTGGTTAGGCAAAAAGCCAGGCTCCCAACAGCACCCCCACATCCTCCCCACCTTCCCACAGGGGCCCCCAACACCCCCACATCCTCCCCACCTTCCCACAGGGGCCCCCGACACCCCCACATCCTCCTCACCTTCCCACAGGGGCCCCCGACACCCCCACATCCTCCCGACCTTCCCACAGGGGCCCCCGACACCCCCACATCCTCCCCACCTTCCCACAGGGGCCCCCGACACCCCCACATCCTCCCCACCTTCCCACGGGGCCCCCGACACCCCCACATCCTCCCCACCTTCCCACAGGGCCCCCGACACCCCCACATCCTCCCCACCTTCCCACAGGGGCCCCCGACACCCCCACGTCCTCCCCACCTTCCCACAGGGGCCCCCGACACCCCCACGTCCTCCCCACCTTCCCACAGGGGCCCCCCGACACCCCCACGTCCTCCCCACCTTCCCACAGGGGCCCCCCGACACCCCCACGTCCTCCCCACCTTCCCACAGGGGCCCCCCGACACCCCCACGTCCTCCCCACCTTCCCACAGGGGCCCCCCGACACCCCCACGTCCTCCCCACCTTCCCACAGGGGCCCCCCGACACCCCCACGTCCTCCCCACCTTCCCACAGGGGCCCCCGACACCCCCACATCCTCCTCACCTTCCCACAGGGGCCCCTAATACCCCCACATCCCTCCTCACCTTCCCACAGGGGCCCCCAACACCCCCACATCCCTCACCTTCCCACAGGGGCCCCTAATACCCCCACATCCCTCCTCACCTTCCCACAAGGGCCCCCAACACCCCCACATCCTCCTCACCTTCCCACAGGGGCCCCTAATACCCCCACGTCCCTCCTCACCTTCCCACAAGGGCCCCCGACACCCCCACATCCTCCCCACCTTCCCACAGGGGCCCCTAATACCCCCACATCCCTCCTCACCTTCCCACAAGGGCCCCCGACACCCCCACGTCCTCCCCACCTTCCCACAGGGCCCCCCGACACCCCCACGTCCTCCCCACCTTCCCACAGGGCCCCCCGACACCCCCACGTCCTCCCCACCTTCCCACAGGGGCCCCCGACACCCCCACGTCCTCCCCACCTTCCCACAGGGCCCCCGACACCCCCACGTCCTCCCCACCTTCCCCCCCCCCCCCCCCCCCCCCCCACAGGGCCCCCGACACCCCCACATCCTCCCCACCTTCCCACAAGGGCCCCCGACACCCCCACGTCCTCCCCACCTTCCCACAGGGGCCCCAGGCACCCCCACGTCCTCCCCACAGGAATCCGTGTTCAAAGCTGTTTCCTGCAGAACTGGGCACCTGCTTTAGCTTCCAGCACAGTGAGCGTGGAGGGACGAGGCTCCCTCAGGTGCTCTGTCCCATCCTGGGGGGTGGGCGGAAGCTGGTGAGGGAAACCCTCCCCCTTCCCCTTCCAGTCTCCCCAGGGAGACGGATGCAAGCATGTGACAGCGGCCCTGCAAGGACCCTAACCCCAGAAGACATTGCCGGGGCAGTCGCTGAGCTGAGGCTGCAATAGAGGTTCAGCCAGGATGCCCCTTCCGGATGCAGCTCTGCAGGGAGGAGAGTCTGGTAAAAAGAGGGTCCCAGGAATGCCCCGTGACAGCCTCTGGGTGAGGAGCTTCTCCCTCCAGCAGGGGTGTCCAAGGGAGAGAATGCATTTATGGGTTCTTACTTTCTGCTTCTGGTTGAGCCAGTAAAGCCCCTTCCTCATCCCTCTTCCTCTTATTACTAGAGACAGAAACGAAAAACCATGGCTTCAAGCTGCTAAAAGCCTAAAACAAGACGAAACAGAAAGACAACAACAAAATAGGGCAGGTCGGATGACCTTGCACGGAGAGGCAGAGATCGCCTCGTCTGAAGAATAAGAAGCCCGTCTCCACCACTATTCCTTCCTCAAGCAGGTGGGCATGTTGGAAAATGCTGCGTCAATTTCTACAACCTGTGACGGGGGATCCAACCCCGACCATATCCGAAGAATCCACACTTATGAACTAAAACTGCCCGTGGTCAGCTCAAGGATCAATGCTGGACACCGGCCTGCAAGGAAGCCGCGGCTTCAGAACGGGGAGGACCCTGGCGGTCACGCCTGCTCTGTGCCGTGAGGGAAGCAGCTGCTTTACAGGAGTTCATTACATAAAACTGTCTGTGTTGTTGGTTTGCTAAGCTCCGCACCGAGAATTGTTCATGAACATCCTTCAGATCCACTAGAGCAGGCTCCGGTCAGTCAGTCGCTTTCACTCACAGAGACGTTTCCCGACACCTAACTGGAGTATTTAGCACCCAAGATGCTTTGTTGAAAGTGAATCTAGTTTTCAGATTGAATGGTTCTTACGTCTCTCGCAAACCCGTGACTCATTCAAAAGATCAACCCTCGTTCTCACCATGAACATGGACTGAACGCTTCCTCCTGTGTCTGAAGTTCACTTCGGCGATTTCAGTACGTTCTCCCTCACTCAGAGGCCGCTCCTTCATCTTAACTGTGTCCCAGAGACACGCTCAGAAGAACGTGGAGTGGACAAAGAAACGGGGCCGAATCGGATGGAGTGAAGGGAAGGGAACAGAGGCGGGGCCTGCCCAGAGGAGGCTGTGCCAGCGAGACCACGAAGGCGTAATTCAGGCAGGACTGAGGGTGAAGACATCAGAGGTGAAGCGTCCAGGAGCGACGTCGCCGTGAACACAGAGGCACCACTGTGCCAGGACGCCTGGGGCTGGGGTTCCGTGACCCCACACAGATACTCCTGCTTTTACGGGGGGCGACAGCGCAAGAGGGCTACTGTAAGCTGTGACTTCCAAGACCATAACAATTCCTGATAACACTTCGAACTAAAGACGTCATCTCTTTCCGCAACTTACGCTTACACCAAAAAGTATCCGAAACAGGCCTCAATCAGTTTAGGGGTTTGTTTTGCCAAAGTTAAAACTGTGGCCTGTGACGTGGCTCCAGGAGGTCCTGAGAACATGTTCCCAAGGTGGCTGGGGCACAGCTTGATTTGACATGTTTTAGGAAGACAGAAGCGACAGGCAAAGCTCTAAACCAACACATGGAAGGTGGCGTTGGTCCGGCCCGGGAAGGTGCAGCATCTCCAAGCAGTGGGTGGTGGGGCCTCCAGGCCACACGTGGACACAAAGATTTCCTGACTGGCGACTGGCTGAAAAGGTGAAACTCGGCACGAAGAGTTGAAGTCAGCGCGAAGTTAAGGAGCTCGTGGAAGCCACGCTTCCTCCACGCAGAAGGCTCCTCCAGGTAGCTTCGGAGAGTACCAGAGCTTAAAAGGGTCCAGACTCTCCAGAAAAGAGCTGGAGAGGGAAGGTGATTCTCTGCAGAATGCAGATTTCCCCCACAAGAGGCAGTGTGAGGGGCCATTTCAAAAGATGTCAATGAAATGTATTTGGAGGTGAGATAATGTCTCTCAGGGTCTGCCGTCTGCCACGCGAGGGTACACTAGATTCAGGTGGAAAACTGGTCTCTTGTTGGTACAAAGAGTCTGTTTTGCCCGTCTCAGGTCTGTTTAATGTCACTGCTGGTCCAAAGGAAGGAGAGTGGGATGAGGCCTGTCCGAGTCCCTCTTCCCATCAGAGCCTGAACTCGCCTTTCCCGTTTCCTTGGGGTCCCCGTGGCCAAGAGGCAGGTCCATTCCGTTGGTTGGGGGCTTAGAATTTTGTTTTCAGTTTACAACGTAATAGCTGTTGTTATAACGTGTGCCTGGGATTTGCTATAATCAGGCGTGGTGAGACATGCAGGCATAGAAATCCTCACGAAGATAGATCTTTATACTCAACTCCCCAGACACAGGCACTCAGCCACCACGCAGGGCTGCTCCAGGATGCACTTTTCTGCGTGTGTCAAATGCTTTTTGAAATTATAGGCATAAAATGGAGCGAACTGAAGAATGGCTTTATTCTTTGCCCCTAAGAAGTTACCAGAAAAGGATGGGTCACTGCCACAGCCTGCCTCACTCAGAGCCCAGGAGCCGCACACGGCGAGGAAGGCCTGCGCGCCCGGCACACACACGACTGAGTGCCCCGGCCTCCACGCCACTCCTGGAGGGCTGCCCGTCATACTGTGGGCATTTGTAAAGAGACACTTTTTGCTTGTGATGTTTTACGTTTTATGAACTTTATTCCATGGAACTTAGCTGAGCATAACTGGGTTTGGAGGTCACGACTTCACAGCAATGGAATTGTACCGCAAGGACACAGGAGTTAAGGGGAAGAACAACGAACCACTCCCGCACATTTCCGGCCTGTGTCACACCCAAGACACCCCGTCCGTAGCTAACTTTCATCTTCAGGTGAGGAAAATGATGGAGCAGCATCCTGAAGGAGTTTATCGTGGTCTCCTCTGAACCCCGGCTGGGACTGAAGACACCTCCTGTCAGCGAGCGTTTGTTCCATCAGGCGCACGGCAGTCTCGGAGGCCCACAGAGACAGTTCTCACAAAGGCCTGGCCGTCAGCTGTCTTTCCAACAGCGGCCTGTCAGGTCACAGCTCATACTCTCAGAAACCGCTTCTCAGCTTCAGAGACCCATTTCCTAATCTCAGCGTCAGGCATCAGGAATGATGCAGAAACGCCAGTCCCGCAGTACAGATCCCAACCTCTCTGCGACAGGAGGCCAGCAGGACCCGGCCCAGAAGCCCACCCCGAGCTGGGCAGAGGAGGAGAAGGGCGTTGGGAGGTCTGCAGTTAGCTGCCCTGTGAAGGTTTCCCACACACTTAAAACACACATACACTTCATAAGCACGAGTCTCCATGATCGTAGTGAAAATGCCTCGATAACAGGGACTGTTTCCTGTTGCTTTCTATCTTCTATCACGGTCACGAACTCAAACAGCTGCTGCCAGCTTGGCCAAAATGTCCCTGGGGAGGCCCCACCCCTGCGGCAGGTTCACCGTGCAACCTGGCCACGCAGGTGCATCTCAAGGCTTTTCTAAAAGCACAGCTAGAATGAGCCACAACGTTCCAGCCGGGGCCACACCTGCTGACAAGTGGCCGACTTAAGGTGTGCAATGGTGAGGGTGTAGCATCCCCCTTATCCTCAGGGGTACCTCCAAGACCTGCAGGGATTCCTGAAACCAAGAGAGTACCAAACCCTATGTACACGATGTTTTCCCTATGAACACACACCCTGATAAAGTTTAATTTATAATTTAGGCACAGTAAGAGATTAGCAATAACTAATAACAAAATAGAACAATTATAATAATATGCTGTCCCCAGTTTCACAGACAGAACATTCCATCTGACTGGAGATCTTGGCAACCTGAGCGTACCGTTTTCTTTTTCCTTATTAAGTCGAGAACTTTCACTTTTAACCTAAAGGAGCACCTTCCCGCCAGGCTCACTGCTCTTGTGCTTTGGGGCCATGATGAAGTCAAATGAGGGTTCCTTGAACACAAGCACCGCGACCCCTGGACCGTGGATCTGACAACTGAGAGGCCATAACGGGGCGGGGAGCGTCCGCAGCCTGGAGACGCTGGACCAAGGGAGGGTTCAGTCCAGGTGGGACCGAGCGGGCAGCGCCAGATTTCACCACGCTCCGCAGAAGGATGCACAAGTTAAAACTTGGGAATTGTTTATTTCTGCAATTTTCCTGTTAACACTTTCATACCTCAGTTACCTCGAGTAACTGAAATCACAGAAAGGGAAACTGTGGCGAAGGGGCCGTCATCCCCACTCCACCTCCCAACAACATCGAAAAAGACCTGTGGGCTGAAGGAATAAGGAAAGCATCATTACAATTACCTTTGATCCTTCCGGGCCACTGTGTTTTAAATCTCAGTTTGATTATCAAACGCAGATCAAAGCAATAAATATTTATTGGCAGAACTGTTAACAACTGCGCTGGTAACTATATTTACATAATACAGTGTAACTATATTTACGCCAACATGACCTGGTGCGTGGGAAGTCCTTCCGGCCTCGAGCAAGAAGAGGGGAACAGGACCAGCTTATGAACGCACACTGAATGTCCGTGTGAACTAGCTGAAAAAAATTAGGCAGTTTGTTTATACTGAGATCAAATCTTTTTTAAAAAGAACATTAAAAGAACAACTTAATAAACCAACCCAAATCATGTGGATATCATTTGAGCACGTTTCTATCTGGTATGTCACCAGGAACTCATCTTCCAGAGTCCTCAGCCGAGCGGGCGATGCTAAACTTACTGGGGGCCTCTGGATGCGTCTCTGCCACCCACCCTGGACTCGGCGGGGGCCCTATACACACAGCACCAGGACGCAGCAGCCTCTGGACACAGCACCAGGACGCAGCAGCCTCTGGACTCGGCGGGCCCTATACACACAGCACCCAGGACGCAGCAGCCTCTGGTTAGGATCTACGGGATGAAGGGAAGCATGAAACTTACAGTGAGGTGCCCCCTCCTCAACTGTACTTCTATGAATTTTGAATAATTAGAGAAAAACAAGAAAAGTCACTTTTATTCCCACTTTCTGGACTGCTTACATCAAGACTGAGAAATGAAAAGACTCATATTTTGCTTTTAAAATGTTAAAAGGAATCCGGCTTGGGGATGACACACGACTCTTCAACACAGTCAAGTCTTTCTATTTATCCTCCTTTAAGCCTCAAGCTGCATCTGCCACCCTAACGCATATTGACAGACGGCTTCCTGTGGTTCCTATCCAGTTAATGATGACAGGAATTAGCTCAGCATATCGACTGGACAAGGTTGTGTTTTCCGTTGTAGACACTTTTTTTTTTTTAAGTGAAAAGCAACTCACATGAAAAATGCATAACTTGTTACCAAGAAGGGCACAATAGTTCTCCAAGCAAATAACCTACCCAAGGGCATTTACAAAACTTCACGTGATTATCTGGTTATAAAATGTTTATAACATTTTGTAAACAGAAGAATTTGCCATTTCAGAACTGACTTCATTCTGTCTCCTTGGCAAAATAGGAAAAAATAAAATTTTTCTATTAAAAAAATTAAGTTTACAAAACAGGCACTGAAAACCTTCCAGATCATCCTAGAAACATCCTTTACACAGTGAGCAGAAGATAAAGAGTACCAACTTCCAATTTCTGCATCAATAAATGAAAGTACATTTGCCAAGCCCTTCACGGTGATAGAGAAGTTTTATTGGTGTATAAGTTCAATGAACTGTTAACGTAAAACTGAAAAGTCATCGTCACAGCTGACTGAATTTCTTTGTTACATCGCTCAGGTTAAAAATGTGTCCACGCATTGTTGTTGAAAGAGCACGCAGGTTAGGAAGTCTTCAGAGCGGGATCTTGGGAGCAACCCCCACCGTCAGGACAGTCCAAAGTCTCCAGACCCTGCCAAGCGTGTTCTGGGTGGCTGGACCAAGACTGATCCCAGGTGAGAGCCTCTGCTTCAGAGTGAGACAGATCCAGGTTTAAACCCCAGCACGCAACAGGGAAAACCTCTCCAGAGCGCTGCAGGATGTGGCCGCATCCACCTAGAGTTGCCCCCAGCTCCCACAGCCTCCTCCTGCTCTAAGCCCATCCTTTGCTGCAGGCACCAGTGTTTCTGCAGCAAATCCTCAGCTCTGTCTGAGCCCTCGCCCAGCATAAGAGGGGAACACCACGTGGGGAACGGATGAATTTCTATATCCTGCACACGCTGCTGTTTTTACAAGAGAAGCATTTGATGTTGTGTTTACCCACGGAAGTGACAAAACATAAATGTCACTCAACTTTTTATTAAATGAATTGGTTCAATGATTTTCAATCTTAACTGAAAATGTAACGTACAAAATGAAGACTACAAAACTGTACATTCCAAAGCCAATTTTTTGGATGACGGCTGTTTCTGAGTCAGTTTGCATTTATGAAGAGCACACACCCCACGGTAATGAACCGTTCTGAGATAATATAACTGTGTATGAAAATTGAAAAATGCTTCACAAGTGTTAGTTACTGGAGTGTTTAAGTGCAAGAGGAGCTAGCAAGATGGATTTAAGAAATGTGGGCCGAGCACAGTGGCTCACGCCTCTAATCCCAGCACTTTGGGAGGCCGAGACGGGTGGATCACGAGGTCAGGAGATCAAGACCATCCTGGCTAACACGACGAACCCCGTCTCTACTAAAAATACAAAAAAATTAGCCAGGGGTGGTGGCAGTAGTAGTCCAGCTACTTGGGAGGCTGAGCCAGGAGAATGGCGTGAACCTGGGAGGTGGAGCTTGCAGTGAGCCGAGATCGCACCACTGCACTCCAGCCTAGGGACAGAGCAAGACTCCGACTCAAAAAAAAAAAAAAAAAAAAGTGAAGTGTTTACTGACCCATTCTTCTTACTTCAAATGTCTTTAGTGGCCGGGTGCAGTGGCTCACGCCTATAATCCCAGCATTTTGGGAGGCAGGGGTGGGTGGATCACCTGAGGTCAGAAGTTCAAGATCAGCCTGGCCAACATGGTGAAACCCTGTCTCTACTAAAAATACAAAAATTAGTCAGACATGGTGGCAGGCACCTGTAATCCCAGCTAGTTGGGAGGCTGAGGCAGGAGAATTGCTTGAACCTGGGAAGTAGAGCTTGCAATGAGCCGAGATCGTGCCACTGCACTCCAGCCTGGTGACAGAGCAAGACTCCGTCTCAAAAACAACAACAAAAATGTCTTTAGTGTAAAAACAAAGGCTGAGACTTGGATGGAACCTGAGTAGCATGTGTCCTGCACTCATGCTTGTGGCATGGACTCCCTGGAAGCTTCTGGAAGTTCAGAAACAGCTCTCTGGGAACCCCACCACACTGGCCCCTGGCTCCCCTGACATGGTGTGCAGACGTGCAGCCACTCACCCTCGCCAGAACCTTGCCTTCCTGCCGCACACACACGATCCTCGAAAGACAGACTGCGGCGAAACACACAGCAAGGCAATCGGGAAGAAAGACGTTTTGAGTAGGTGTTTTTAAAGACTTTTGTTTTTAATACAACTTAATTGTTTATATAATTTAATGTTTAACAGTGTCTCCTGAGATTCCTGAACACTGAACAACTGGCCTGCTGGTCCATGCCCCCTTGCCCTTCCCTCGTGGGGTGAGACGAGGAGGCCAGCCTGGGAAGGGAATGGGCGTCCTGTCCACCTCCGTGACGGGACCTCTCGCTTTTCCTGATTCAAATCAGTTCTCCTCTGCAAGGCTCTAAAAATAATAGCCCCGTTGTGGAAACACCAAGTAAAATGTGAAAAAATAGAGAAGCTAGTCTTGACCTGAACAGACCTTGCAGTTTTCGCAAATACCTGTGACAGTAATTAACACAGACATAAGAGGAAGTCATGATGACAGTAAGAGACTCGGAAAACAAGTGGATTAAACACATTGCCTTCTAGAAAAAGCTGCGTGAAATGGGTTTGGAATTTCTGTTTACTCGAAAGATGAAAGCTTCCTATGTTTGTTCACCACTGGAGAGAACACAAGAGCCAGAAAAACAGCACGTCTTTGTTTTGCCATGAGCACAGCTCTGTTCCCGGACTCTCGCCCCTGCTTTCTGTCACAGGCGGCCGTTCTTGTAGGGTGGACTCCCTAAATCCACGAGCTTGGATAGCTCCACTTCAGATCGTGGCAGCAGTAACTTTCTATCTTTTGCCTAAATAAAAAGCACTTAGTATGCTATCTCATGCACAGTAGGTGCTCACATCGATGTGGAATAAATCCACATAAACCTAATTCTTAAAAGATGATCATTTTGTAAACGATGTAACTGGTATGTAACAATTTCAACTAGCAAATTACTAGATGTAGTTGATGTGTTGGGAGCAGGCCCCACCCTGGGAGCAGGCCCCCCATCAACTGCCACAAGCTGCTCTGACTGCCGTGGAAATCATCCGACACCACACAGGCTGCCCTGGGGTGCAGAGGGCCGTGCCCCAGAAGAAAGGCAAAGAGGCGTCTGGGAAGCTTGGTCACCAGCCGAGAAGCACCTCTGACACCGTCCAGCCTCTCCAGGTGAGGCCCACCTGAACTCAACCGCCGCCAGCCGATCTGAAATCGTGTCTGCTGTTTTTCATGCCATCCCCTACCTGCCCTGCCATCCGCTAGACTCTGGGAGGTAAGGTCTGGTGACAGGGACCCTGTTGCCAAGAGAGTGCCCCAGTGAGTGGTCAGGTTCAACAGGCACACACGCTCTGGGCAGAAGGCAGATGCAGGGGCAGGGGCTTCTCCGGGACTGGGCGGGGACCCTGATCCTAAAGCCCAACACGCAGGTGAGAGAGGTGGCCTGCGGGGTCTAGAGAGAAAGAACTGCCAGGAAAAACACTTGCCCCTTTCCTGAAGGCACCGCAACGATGGACATGACCCTTAGTTATTTGGGGTCAGAGGTCGATTTGCACAGCCAGCCAGAATCATAGGCCCTGCCTGCACTCTGTTTCATAGGCTAAATTTTATTTAATTTGTATTTTGGTTTTGGCTTTGTAGTTTAATGTTGTAAGGATATCATTATAATCAACATATGTCAACACCAAGGTTTCTAAGAAATTTATGCTGCTCTAAGTAATGCTTCCATGACAGGAAATGGTTCTGGGAGCCGCTCTGAGTGAGGCTTCCATGACAGGAAATGGTTCTGGGAGCCGCTCTGAGTAATGTTTCCATGACTGGAAATGGTTCTGGGAGCCGCTCTGAGTAATGTTTCCATGACTGGAAATGGTTCTGGGAGCTGCTGTGAGTGACGATCCGTGATTAGAGATGGTTCTAGGAGCTGCTCTGAGTGATGCTTCCATAACCGGAGATGGTTCTGGGAGCTGCTGTGAGTGATGATCCGTGATTGTAGATGGTTCTGGGAGCCGCTCTGAGTGATGCTTCCGTGATTGGAGATGATTCTGGGAGCTGCTCTGATTGGTGTTTCTGTGATTGGAAATGGTTCTAGGAGCTGCTGTGAGTGATGATCCGTGACTGGAAATGGTTCTGGGAGCCGCTTTGAGTGATGCTTCCGTGATTGGAGATGGTTCTAGGAGCCACTGTGAGTGATGATCCGTGATTGGAGATGGTTCTAGGAGCTGCTGTGAGTGATGATCCGTGATTGGAAATGGTTCTGGGAGCCGCTCTGATTGGTGTTTCCGTAATTGGAAATGGTTCTAGGAGCTGTTACTGACAATTACCAGGCTCTGGACAATGCACATGACCAATGGCCTTGAAGGCAGGATCCATAGCTTGTCCATTTTTAAATCCCTTGCCCCTGGTGGAGTTCAGTGAGTGAGGTCTCTGGCACAAAGCTTGACACACACAGATGCTCAGTTGCTGTTTTCTGAATGAATACATACATGCCTGCCGCCTTGGTGGAGGCAAATTAATGCTTTAGCTATACTGGACAATTTTCCCAGGATGGAAATGGAATATTTGCAAGCTTTGGGGTTTGAAGGCAGGCATCAACTCTAGGTTTACATGAGGGGTGTTCATGAGTGACGTCAACATCACACCACAGCCAGGCAACGTGTGTCCCTGGGCAGCGGGTTCAGGTCGACAGTCACATCTGAGCCTCACGTGAACCCTGCAGGTATTCACCTGTTTTGCTGACAAGGAAGTTGAGAAAAGAGTCCATGGAGACAAGCCAACGACCTTTATTATCATAAACTAACTATATAACGTCTGCAGCCTTACACATGAGGGATGGTTCTGGTCACCTCCAGGCACTCACATGGGGGTGTCTGACGTAGAACCCACGGCAGCCGCACACACGGACAGTCCACCCGTTTCTAGCCCAGCTTTAAAAACCAACAACAAAATCCAAAACGGTGACAGCCTGGCTGCCATTTCTGAATGCCTGGGAGGCGGCCAGAAGTGGCAAATGCCAACCTTGGCCACAGCCCTGCAGGGAAGGTGCTTCTTGTGTCCGTTTTACAGGCAAGAAACGGAGGCTCTGAGAGGACCTGGAGGGACCCCATAAGCAGTTCGGGGCCATCCTCTGGCAAGCGCCACGTGGATGACGCTACAAGGGGCGCCGATGAGAAGCGGAAAACCGGTCTCTTGGTGTAGAAAGACCGTCCAAGCTGGACAGAGTTCCAGGATCTGAAGAGAGGGTGGGGCTGTGCAACGGACAGCAGAAGAAGCGAAAACTAGTGACCTCTGACCTGTGAAGTGGGGGCCCACAGACCAGCCCCCAGTCCGCGTGCAGCCTGCAGCCTGTCTGTGCAGTCCGTCAATTGAGAATGCTTTTACATCCTTAAATGGTTGAAAAAAATCAAAAGAAAAGTAACTGTCTGGGGATACGTGAAAATGATCGGAAAGTACAATTTCCTCATCCTCAGTCGCCTTTCATGGGCCCACAGTGGCCCTCCGAGCCATGGACTGACAACGGCTGCCCTGGCTACCAGGGCACAGCTGGCACTGCAGAGGCCAAAAAGCCCGGGTCCTCGCCATCCAGCCCTCGGCAGGAGCTCTGCACCCACCTTGGAGCAGGTCAGGCACACACGCTGGGGAGGGGCACCTAGGAGGGCTGGGGAAGCCCTTGGGGGGCCGGGCCAGCCTTCCCGGGGCTCCATGGACAGGTGGTGGATTGTGGATCACGGACAGGACTCCTGAGCAGGCTTGCAGGGTGGAGCCCTCCCACCCCCGCATTTGTGACACGCCCCTTGGCGGCCAGGTGCCCTGCAGCGTGAGACATTCCCGCCAATGAGACCCACGGGCTTTGGAGGCAATGGGCCCACCTGTGAGTGGAGTACAGAGCGTGGGGGAACAGCTTCCCAGGAGTCTGGGGCTCGACCTCTCCAAGAGGCCCTGAAGGTGGCCTGAGAGCCCCGCTCTGGAAGTTCTGCCTCTCGGGGGGCAGCGTGGAGCACAGTGGCTGCAGTGAGCCCCGCCTGGCTCTAAGCACCACTTCCCACACATGCAGCTTTGGCAGGTGCATTAGCCCAGCTCTCAGTTTCCACGGTGGGAGAGCACGGCTGTGGGGTGGCGCCTGCCTCACAGGGCCGCTGGGAGGGATGCCTGGGTTACAGTGAACGTGAGGAGCAGGCTCATAGACCCCACACATGGCGAGCGTTATCCCAGGGGCATGCAGAGGTGGGACTGGAGACCGAGTTTCCAAAGACCAAGAATCGGCCAACGCACTGAAGGGCAGATGACAGAGGTGAATGGTCCCACCAGTGAGAACCCGGCCCTGTTATTCCAGGGCCTTCTCTGCCTTCTGTGAGAAAACGACTTTCCCAGACCCCAGCGCGGGCCTTTCTCACATCTCAGCAGCAGGGACCACGGCTCCAACAGCATCGCAGGATGAAGGCCCCAGGCGCTGAAGAGGGTGAAGCCAGACCCCGCCTCCATCCCGAAACACCGGGGACCACAGTGAAAGTGCCACGCCTGGGATGCTGCCTGGCCAAAGGCTTTGATCGGCCCCTGCCAGGCGTGTGGCAGAACCGGCTTCAGAGGCAGCTGTGCCCACATCATGAGCTCTAATGATCCCCCGGGAAGAACACAGACGGCTTCTTTCTCTAATTCCTCAGCATGTTTTTAAATTTAAGTAACTCTACATTGGATTTTGGAAAAAGCGCTTCTAACATAAGCCTGTTTGACTGCAGTTAAATAATTTATAGGTCTCTTGGCTTGTGAATCATTGTCTCCATTACCCTTTTTTATGTGACTCACATCATTGCTCCATTATTATTAATAATAAATATATCAAGCATCAGGCACACAAAAATATCAAGAATAAAGAAATATATAAAGAGCTCCTCATACTGACAAAAAAAAAGATATAACCCAAATGAAAGACGGGCAACAGATATAAACAAGCTGTTCTTTTTTAAAAAAGAGAAAAGAACGGCAAATGGACTTAAACACATAAAAAGATTCTCAACCTGCCTGTTAGCAGGACAAACACAAGATAAACCACAATGGGACGCGGCGTCTCGTCCAGCAGCGGGAGGAAGGCCCAGAAGCTGGGCAGCGCAGGCCGCCGGCAAGGTAAGTAGAGAACAGACACCCTCCTACAGCACTGACCGGCAAACTGCAAACGCACCCCTCCTCTCAGAAATCTCCCTTCTCCAAAGCGATCCCAAAGCCGTCCTCGCAGAAATATAACTGATGTACTCACAAGGCGTCTGCAGCACTATTTATAAAAGCAGAAGACTGGAGACCAGCTGTCCATAATGGGGGGCGGCCGGGGGGTCCACAGGAGAACATCACGCAGCTGTGCAGACACGCGCACGCCGTCCACATAACACGCAGGTACGAAGGGGTTGTGAGGCAGAGTAAGAGAAAAAAGTACGTGCCGGGGTAACCGTAAGCCACCGTATATGTCATTGAGAACACTGGCTTATTTACCCTGGGCCTGATGTCACTGACTTCTACCTCCTGCCCCAAGATGTAGAGTGAAAGATGAAAACATGGCCTGTTAACTCATCTGTGGGCAGGATGTGAAGACCATGTAGCACATGTGATGAAATACACAGCCAGTCCTTCCACAAACTCCGAAGGACACGGCTCCTTTGGCGGAAGCCACTCCTAGGTGGGTGCATCCTGGCTGACATTCCTGGAAATTCCCGATGCTACACTGACAACAACTACATTCTCTGTAGCAATTTTAGGATGGCAAGCAAGGACATTGTGGTTATCGGTGATGGAAAGTAAATTCTTGGCATTCTACTGCTACTCCAGGCTATTAAACTACATTACGGTATTTTTTTTTTTTTTTTGTGGAAATGTGTGGTTCGTTCCATTGAGAGGGCAATTAAGTTTGTATGGTCAGAACATCTCTGAGTAAAATCCCTCATTAATTTTCTCACACAGAAATACACAACCCGTCAGATGGAGGCGTATTCAGTGCTGAAGACGATGGCGGGAGGCTGGGGGTGGCGACACAGAGAGGAGCCCCCATCACTCACAGCCCACTCTGCACAGGTGTGCCCACCAGGCACAGGGGTGCCCACTCCACACAGGGGTGCCCACTAGGCACAGGGGTGCCCGCTCCACACAGGGATGCCCGCTCCACACGGGGTGCCCACCAGGCACAGGGGTGCCCGCTCCACACAGGGCACCTGCCAGGCACAAGGTGCCCGCTGGGAGGATTCTCCTGAGCTGTACTCCCCACCCCCGGGAACCCAGGAGGCTTCGGTAAGGTCGTGGCATGTCACTCCTGTGCTCAAACACGTCCTCGCAGGAGGCCTCCCTGACTGCAGCACAGAAAACAGCTGCGCTCCTCCTGGCCCCCTGAGCCCCCCTATCCTGCCTCATTTTCTTCTCCATGCACATCCCCACCTGACACGGCCGCCATTACTACTGTGGCTTCTCTGCTGCCAGACTTCCCCCCACCTTGGAATGAGGCAGACCGTTTCTGACATAATCAGACACAGGGTTTACAGTAAGAGGCCCTAAGAAAGGAAACATCCTAAATTTCCTAACAAATGAATGACCAATACTAGACCAATTCCTGAAAGGCTTCTACCTGTGGAAAGGGAAGTGGTCCCTTAAAAGCATGTGGCACTCCAGGGGTCAGGAAGAGATGAACGATTTGGCCACATCATTATTTACAAAGATGCAATGAATGACATATATATTTGTGTATTGACACACACATGTACGCACACAAACACATACGTGTGTGTATGTGTATACCATAATGTCAAAAGACAAATGAAAATTTGGGAGGCCAGGCACAGTGGCTGACGCTTGTAGTCCCAGCACTCTGAGGCGGGAGAATCACTGGAACCAGGCCGCAGTGAGGTGTGATCACAGCACTGCACTCCAGCCTGGGTGACAGAGTAAGACCCTGTCTCCAAAAAAGGTGGGGGGATTATCTGCACTATACATATAAGTCAAAGGGCCAATGTCTGGATTTGTTTTTTTTTTTTTTTTTAGATGGAGCCTCACTGTCACTCAGGCTGGAGTACAGTGGTGCGATCTCGGCTCACTGCAACCTACACTTTCCGGGTTCAAGTGATTCTCATGCCTCAGCCTCCCTAGTAGCTGGGATTACAGGTGCACGTCGCCACATCCAGCTAATTTTTGTATTTTTAGTAGAGATGGGGTTTCACCATGTTGGCCAGGCTGGTCTCAAATTCCTGGCCTGAAATAATCCAGCCGACTCAGCCTCCCAAAATGCTGGGAATACCGGTGTGAGCCACACTGTACCCAGCGAGGGCTAATTTTTTTAATATAAGAAGAGTTCTCACAAATGAAGAGAAAAAAATGAACAGTCCAATAAACAAATGGCAGGGTACATTCACAGGCTGCTCATGGAAGAAAAACATACTGTGGCAATTTAGCAGTAAACGAACAATCCCAAGACACGTGCCTTTCAACACAGCAGCTCCACCTCTACAAACGTCCACGGAAGGACGCAAAGGCGCGCTCATACTGGTGTTCATTTTGCTGGGAAAGGAACAGCCCTGCTCACAACAGTGAGAAAAGGGCCGTCCCACAGGCAGCGGAGAGACCCTGCGGCCCCACGCCAAGGTTCAACTCCTCCACAATGGGCAACTGTCTACGTGTTATGCCTCGATTCCCATCTGTAAAGTGGGAATAACAGTAATGCCATCGTACCGCATGACATTACACGATGAAGTTAGAATGGCCCAGAATTAATTGCTCTATAAATGTTCGATGAAGGAGAGGATAATGATAAATAAAAATACCATGATGGCGGCGGTTACAATAACAATTGTAAAAGGCCAGGGGAAGCAAGGGAACCCACAAGAGGTTGGAAGTCATCTCTCCCAAACAGGCAGCTTCCACTTCCACCCTTGCCCGAACTTAAAGGAGGCCTTGTCATGCTCCCAGAAGAAAACCGAGTGCACAAAACACCAGTGAGCAAGGTGGACTGGAAGACTGAGAAATTCACGAGGCTGAAGGGGGATTCAAGCCCACATCCTTCAGCACACGTGTCCCCACGTGGGAGGACGGAGACTCTCCTTCCCTTTCTCTCCCTAACACAGTATCCACCTTCCTAGGAATCAACGTTCCCAGCTTTCTCTGATTAATATCTAGGTTCAGTACTTTCCCCAAAGTCTTTTCTTCTTTTTCGACTTCTGTAAATCTCCTTTGGTTATTTTTATCTGTAGGACTTTTAATACTCAACAAGATGCAACTTTTTGTAAAAAATTCCTTCAGCCTTTGACCAACGCTAGGAATATGTTTGAGAATGTAGTTAATTCAGGAAAGTCATTTGATAGTGAAAGACCTTTAAAATAAAAGTTAGAATGCTACAAAATAAAAGTTTGCCTTATTCTTTTAAGTGTGGCATCAGAAATAGAAGGCTGGGGCCAGGGATGACAAATTTCGGCTCTCTCCACTTGGCTGCTGCTTGAGTTTGGCACAGAGCCTGGTGGCTTAGGGAGCTGGACCGGATGCACTGGGCAGAGGTGGAGGCACACCCGTGGCCCACGGCATCCACCAGAGCAGAGGGCCTCACGCTGTGGCATGCCAGGGAGGCCGCTGGGGACGTTGCGGCCACCGGCCCTGGGGCCCCAGCAGGGCCAGACTCTGTAGGTCACTCCAGCTGTGGGCACCCTGATGCCCGGCCCGCTTGTGACCCAGTGCATGTGTGCTCCGTGATGTGGAAGAGGTGAGGCACACGGCCACAAAGGGCAGCAGTGACTGTCTTTAACAAACGCGAGTGTTAAGGACACCGGCATGACCTCGAAGCTCCTCCAGTAGTTAGAGTCGACCACATACTGAAATTTTAATGGGCAACTATTGAAGATATTGATCTACAAGCACCATTTTCTGCTTGATAATATGGTTTTAAAACATTTTTTACATTATCTCTGTAGCTGGCTAGCAAAAAACACAATTGCTTATTTCGGATTACCAGGAAGAAGCACAAATGACTATAACGTAAAAATTGCATTCAGGCCGGGCGTGGTAGCTCACACCTGTCATCCCAGCGCTTTTGGAGGCTGAGGCAAATCGATCACATGAGTCCAGGAGTTTGAGACCAGCCTGGGTGACAGAGCAGAACCCTGTCTCTACAAAAAATACAAAAATTGGCTGGGCGTGGTGGCGCATACCTTCAGTCTCAGCTACTCTGGAGGCTGAGATAGGAGGATTGCTTGAGCCCAGGAGGCAGAGGCTGCAGTAAGCTGAGATCGTGCTATTGCTCTCCAGCCTGCACAACAGAGCAAGACCCCATCTCAATAAAAAGAAATGAAAGAAATGCATTCATATTTATGATCATTTCTCAGAATAAATATGTCTACTACACAGTCATCAAAGTTAGAAGATAATAAAGACCCATCTTGATTTGAGAGTCCCATAAATGCCTTCTAGCTTCTATCTATAAATACAGGTTGAGTAGCCCTTACCCAAAATGCTTGGGACAGATGTGCTTTGGATTTTGGAATATTTGCATATGTATAATGAGACACCTTGGGATGAGACCCAAATCTAAACACAAAATTCATTTGTGTTTCACACACATCTCACACACATAGCCTGATGGTAATTTTATACAATATTTTAAATAATTTTAGGCATGAAAATTCGTGTCAACAGCTTATGAATGGAATTTTCCACTTGTGGCATCATGCTGGTGCTTGAAAAGTTTCAGATTTTGCAGCATTTTGGATTTGGGATTTTGGGATGACGGATGCTCAAATTCATCCCATCCCTTCAATTTTGCCTTACCCTTTCTGCATACAATCCTGTGTTCCTTTGTTTTATTTTGTTTGTTGAGATGGAGTCTTACTCTGTCCCTCAGGCTGGAGTACAACGGCGTGATCTTGGAACACTGCAACCTCCGCCTCCCAGGTTCGAGCAATTCTCCTGCCTCAGCCTCCTGAGTAGCTGGGATTACAGGTGTGCACCACAATGCCTGGCTAATTTTTGTATTTTTAGTAGAGATGGGGTGTCCTCATGTTGGCCAGGCTGGTCTTGAACTCCTGACCTCCAGTGATCTGCCTGCCTCAGCCTCCCAAAGTGCAGGGATTATAGGCATGAGCCACCGCACCAGGCCCTGTGTTACTTTTTGTAATTTGCTAAAGAGCTACAGTAGGACTATTGAATGTGCACACAATGCACTCTCTATGTCTTTGAAACACTGCCAAAAGCACTATTTTGCCTTTGCAGTTTCTTGGCACACTGGCTGAAGACGTGTTGCCCACACACTGAGGGAGGTCCTTACCGTGGACACCGAGCTCCGGGAGGCTGCGGTGGCGGCAGTTGAGTCTGCAGGTGGAGAGGAGCAGGGACTGTTTTGCCTCCACCTCCTTCAAAACCTACTTTTCTTCCCAGCAAGAATCCCTTCCCTTATGCTCTCGAATCCACCCTGGCCTGAGGCTGCGCCTGAGCACCACATCCTGACACCATTTGATTGCGAGATATCTGCACGTTCACAAGTGCAGCACTCATCTCATCTCCTCACACAGTCGATCCCTCAGAGCAGACGGGCAATCCCCACCACCTTCTGAACACTCTGCATGTTACAGCTCCTACTCAGCATCTCGGTCAGACCTGGGGTCGCTCTACCTGTTCCACACCTAGACCACAGGTTTTCACCCCGGCCACACATCAGTACCACTTAGGAAGTTGGAAAAAAAAATATACCAGTGCAAGCCAATGACAGAAAAAACATTAATTACCCGATTTTAAAATAGGCAAAGAACCTGAATAGACATTTGTAGCGAGAAGGTGTACAAACGTCTAATAAGGAGAAGAAAACTGCTCCATATCACTAGTCATGAGAAATGCAGATTAAAACCACAATGAGGCCAGCGCAGTAGCTCACAGCTGTAATCCCAGCACTCTGGGAGGCCAACGTAGGAGGATCACTTGAGTTCAAGACCAGCCTGAGCAACCTAATGAGACCCTGCCTCTCCAAAAAAAGTTGTCTTTTTTTTTAATTAGCCAGGCATGGTGGTGCATGCCTGTGATCCCAGCTACTGGGGAGACTGAGGTGGGAGGATCACTTGAGCCCAGGAGGTCGAAGCTGCAGTGAGCTGTGATCGTGCCACTGCACTCCAGCCTGGGTAACAGAGCGAGACGCAGTCTCTAAAAGACAACAACAACAAAACCCCACCATGAGATACCACTTACACAGAGCAGGATGGCTGCTACCAAAAAACTAGACAGTGCCAAGTGCCGGTGAGGACATGGAGAACTGGAACCCCAGCTATCCGGTGCGGACGTGGGGAACTGGAACCCTGTGCACTGCTGGTGCGAGTGTGAAATGACATGGCTGCTATGGAGACAGCAGAGCGGTTCCTCAGAGAATTAAACACAGGTACGACCCAGCATGGGATCCTGCAGTCCCGCCTCTGGGTGCGCATCCAGAAGAAAAGAACTCAGTATGTGGAAGAGACCTCAGCACACGATCACTGCTGCAGCATTCACAACAGCCTACGGGGGACGCCCAAGAGTCCATCTGCAGGTGAATGGACAAAAAAAACGTGTATACACACAACAGAAAGTGATTCCACCACAGAAAGACAAGACACGGATGAGTCCACTGAAATGACATATCTAAAGTGGTCAAAATCACAGAGAAAGCAGAACGGTGGTCACCAGGGCCTGGGGGAGGGGAGGTGGGGATGCCCAGTTTAACGGCACAGAGGCTGAGCATTGCAAGACGAAGAATTTCTAGAGTTCTGCTGCCTGACAATGTGGAAGTGCTCAATACTGCTGAACTCTACACTTAACACGGCTGCGATGGTCAGGTCCATGCCATGCTTTTTTTTACAGTTCAAAACTTTAGAAAATTACTTAAAACAGAACAATACCAAGCCTGGGTCCTGCCTCTCAGAGCTCCTAACCTTTTTGTTTTATGCTTCTCGATGATCCTGTTGCTTTTTTGGCCTTCCTCACTCATTCTCATATGATTCTAATATTAAGGTGTGAGTAGGAACATCTACAAATTATAAACTAAAATTTAAAACTGTCTCTGATTAGGGGATGTACATTTATTGTGCATCCTTTTATTCTCTTCATACTAGGGTACACAGTAAGTGCTTAGCACTCATTAAACATTCACATTATTATCAATTGAATAAAAGAATGATGATTATTTGGGTGGTAATAATACTCTAAATGTACTTTAAAACACTGGGATAAAATTTTAAATAGCTACATTCTAATTCTAATTATGGGCTGGGCATGGTGACTCACCCCTGTAATCCCAGCACTTTGGGAGACCAAGGTGGGAGGATCATCAGAGGTCAAGAGTTCAAGATCAACCTAGCCAACACGGTGAAACCCCGTCTCTACCAAAAACACAAAAATTAGCCAGGCGTGGTAGCAGGTGCCTGTAATCCCAGCTACTTGAGAGGCTGTGGCAGGAGAATTGCTTGAACCCGGGAGGTGGAGGTTGCAGTAAGCCGAGATGGCACGACTGCACTCCAGCCTCGGCAACAGAGTAAGACTCGGTCTCAAATAATAGTAATAGTTATTATTACTATGCTACTAACTTATCTCAGAACTAGTAAGTCTTAGCTATCCAGTGCCCAATTACCCCATCAGTAAAATCCTCACATTTACTGATCAATTACTATGTGCCACGTACTATTTTAAGACTCCCAGATGTATGATCACATTTAAAACTCACCATCGTTTGAAATGGATATTCCTGTTATTTTCATTTGCCGGTTGAAGAAATTGAGGCTGGAGAGCTCACATATCTTACGTGAAGTAGGGAAGGGATTTGAACTGGAGTTGGCTAACCAGTGGTTTCACTTGGGACACACTTGGAACACTGTTCAGAGCACTCTGCGCTTTACACACCAGCAGGGTGACTAAGAGTTGACCAGGAGGGAAGGTGTGGAGGGTGCACTTTCCTGGCAAAAGTAAAACACCTCCACAGCACCGAGAGCTGACTGCAGGCCCAGGAGCCCGGGAGGCGCAGCGGCTCACCTGCGAGGGCAGGTGGTGAGTAGAGGGCTGGGGAGGGAGGCACCAGCAGCTATCAGCTTTCACAGGAGAAGCTGCCGGGGAGAGTCATCAAATGTCATCAAATGTGGAGATTAGGAGGCTCTTCATGTCTGAGATGGACTGGACAGAAATAAGCATCCCTGAAATCTCCACCCAGAGAAATCCATCAACACACAGAACACTGCACTCAATCACACCCTCCCAGACCGTCCCAAGCCAGATGCTGGGAGGACAGAGAAATCCATCAACACACATTAACACACAGAACACTGCACTCAATCACACCCTCCCAGACCGTCCCAAGCCGGGTGCTGGGAGGACAGCGACACTCTCCTGCCTTCTTGTTTTAACTTTCTTGACCACAGACAAACGCGCGAAGAGGAAGCCTTCCTTACTTGAAAGAGGCAAGTGGCCACCACCGCAGCCGGAGACCCAGCTCTGCCGTCACAGTATTATGACTAAAATGACCACGTCCACACCAGGAGGAAATATTCTCACCTGAAAACTGGCTTAACCTGTAACTTGCACTGTTGGTTCAATCAAAACCAAATACTTTACAAATGCACGACTTCCCTTTTTCCTTCAGACCTGGTTAGAGTTCTTGGCAAACTCCCCAAATTCAAAATGAAGCTCTGGATGGTGGATGGGTCTATACTCCATTCCAGGGAGGGACACGCTGAGACCACAGGAAATAAACAACCAATCCTCTTTTCCTGAAGCTGTATAGGTGAACTTAGGCCCACTGTGTTACAGTCCTAAGCTCAAAGGAACCTACATCTGCCTCAGCCATCAACTCTAGAAAGAACCTACAACACCTGCCTATGCCGTCAATGCTAGCAGGAACCTACAACATTTGCACGGGTCATCACGCTGTAGCAGGAACCTGCAACATCTGCCTAATAACCACACCCTTAAAAACCTCCCTCAGCCCATTCTATTTTCCAGCAATGCTACTGAATAGAGCCACATTTTTTCACGACGGTGAAAATACACAGTTCCCACCCATGTGGCAGACATCTCACAAAACACATGCGCTCATCACAGGGAGTAAGCAGACCAAGGATGAGGGCACTGGAACAACTGTCTGCCAGGCTGAATCTTCCCCAGAGAAGCCACAGCAGGCTACTGACTTCGCCTCTCCATAGAACCCTCTGCACAGGTGAGGTCTGCCGGCCCATGTGCTGTCCTACCCTGTGCTACTGACGCTAAAAACCTAACTGGATTCACGGGGTGAGTTCTATTTATCAGACCTCTAGGAAATTCTTGAGTGACCTCCTCTCCCCTGCCCGTGTACACAGTAAGTAAAAACAGGTGTCTATCTGCAGAAAGTCTCGCTACACAGTAAGGACCGGAAAAACAGGTATCTATCTGCAGAAAGTCTCGCCATCGTCAGGGGTCAGAATGGAAAACGTTCTTTCGGACCTTCAGTTTGAGCACATGTGTCTGAGTCCCCTGAGATTCAGCCGCACTGCAGGGACGCACGGGGCGAAGGCACAGGGCGAAGGCTGGCCATCACATGCGGGGGATACCATCTAAGTGAAATAAAATGGAGCAGGCTGAGAGCGCCTCAGGAAGCCGATGTTACACTCCACGGGTAGCTGGCATAGGTGGTAGCTTCGCAGAATTATCCTAAGTGGCATCATTTTTACACAGTTGAGCAAATTCTCAGGTTTTTCCTTTTCTCACTTTTGGTCGTCCAGTGCCTGCAATTAATGCTAATGTCAAGTTTACTCGAATATCCAGACTACGAAATCAGACAGCACCTATCCTAAGTCCCCCCACACACGATGTGATACCGCGTGCTCACACCCCAGTCTCCCGCAGAGACCAGCGCCTGCGGGGGCTCCTCCGTGGGGCCCACGTGCTGAGCAGCACAGATGCTAGTGTCTCAGGTACAACTCGACATGGGAGGCGACAGCACAGCACCCCCTTCCACAGGAGGCATCACCCCCCGACCCCCAAGGGTTCCGACGCTGTTTCCCATGCAACATCAGGCCAGGTAACAGCCATCTCTAAATGAGCCTGCACTTATTTTAAAAACTTCTTTTCAACCTGACACCATCTAGATCAGGAATTAGTGCTCCCGTTTGCCTTCGGGGTGGCTGCTCCCTGCGTACAATGCGTTCACCACCCCACGCCACCCACGCTCAGGACACGTGAGAAAAGCACACTGTGGGGAGGGGGAGCACTTCCCTGTGGGGGAAGGGGAGTATGCCTCTGTGGGGGAGCACTCTTCTGTGGGGAGGGGGAGCACTTCTCTGTGGGGGGAGCACTCTTCTATGGGGAAGGGGAGCACTCTAGGGGAGGGAAGCAATCTTTGGGGGAAGGGAAGTACACTTCCACAGGGAGGGGAGCACTCTATGGGGAACAGGACTTCACCTTTTCTCCCCTGGGCCCAGAATAGTCACTGTGAGGCTCAAAATACCTGGTAAAACATTAAAGTCCCTGATGCACAGAGGCAGATGGAAAACAGTCCAGAGAGAGCCACAAACAAAAACAGCATCCACTGAACATGGGCAGAGAGAGAGGCGGCCTGGCTGGAACAAATGACTAAGGGGCATGGGGCCCCAGGTCTCCCTGCAGCCCACCTGTCCCAGATCAGCACAGGGACGGAGTCTCTAGCCCACAGTGAGGCTACAGCCTGCCCCAGTTGGCTGGTGCCTCCACCTTCCACCACTGGTGTGACAGGCAGCCTGGAGCAGACCAGGCCAGGGAAATGGTGCTGGACCAGTGTTCTCTGCCCTCCACCATGACAGGGGCCCCCAGAGAGTTCACCTGCCCCACAGCCCCACAGGGACCGGGCCACCTTCTCCACCCCCAGTGTGGCTGCCCAACCCTCCTGACTAGAGCTCCCTGTCCCTCACCTCCCCAGTCCCCACCCTCCCAAAAAAACATAAAGCTCTGTAGGAACACAGACACAGCAAACGGAGCACTTCCACCCACACCTTAAATCTCTTTGTGGCTTTCGTTGGCTTTATATTAGAAATATAAAGTACTAGAAACACTGACCTAAACAAGCAAACAAAGCCCATGTAAGTGATTCAAACCCGTGCCATGCCTTCCTTCTTTGGTTCTCAACCACAAAAATTCTGAAAACGCACTATTTTAAAATGCTCCCAAATCCATTTTTGATGAGTGAAATTCTGCCCTGAATAACGCTGAGCACAGCATGACGTGAGCAGCGGAAGTGGGTGGGTCAACGACACAGGAGCGTGATGGCGAGCACCTTCCGCAACAAAATGGCTGGATCTTTCCTGCACAGCCAGAGCTCCCCAGGCTTCCAGAAGCTTCTCTGGATGTTACACAACAGGAAGTCCTCCCTTGGGATCTGTGGGGAGGAGGAGACCAGTGGCGACAGTGCAACCCAGTTACAGTGAAAACCGAGCTCCCTGGGCAGCACGCCTTGTCTGCTGAGATCTACAAAGCCCTCTCTTCTCCGTGCAAGCCTTTTTCTGGAGCCCTGGGCTATGTTGCATTTTAAAAGCTCCTTCTAAAAGGTTATCAGATGCCATCATCACTTGATGAGTAAAATGTTCCTACCTTGGCTTTGTGGCTATTTCTGCCGAAGGCCAGACATAACTTAAGAAAGATTCAGGCTGGGACAGTGGCTCATGCCTGGAATCCCAGCACTTTGGGAGGCTGAAGTGGGTGGGTCACCTGAGGTCAGGAGTTCAAGACCAGCCTGGCTAACATGGTGAAACCCCATCTCTACTAAAAATACAAAATTAGCCAGCTGTGGTGGCACATGCCTGTAATCCCAGCTACTCAGGAGGCTGAGGCAGGAGAATCACTTGAACCTGGCAGGTGGAGGTTGCAATGAGCCGAGATGGCACCATTCCACCCCAGCCTGGGCAACAGAGCAAGACTCTGTCTCAAAAAATAATAATAATAAAACACACATACATACACACACACACACACAGAGAGAGAGAGAGGGAGAGAATTCACATGCTATGAAATTCACCCTTTACAATGTACAATTCAGTGTTTTTTTAGTTCATTTACAGAGTTGTACAATCGTCACCACCATCTAATTCTAGAGCATTTTCATCACCCCAAGAAGGCACAAGACCCACACACAGTCGCTCCCACACCCCCGCCCCCAGTCCCTGCCAACCATTAATCTACTTTCTGTCCTACAAATTTGCCAGTTCTGGACATGTCACATAAATAGAATCATACAATGTGTGGCCTTTTATTTCTAGCTTCCTTCACTTAGCATCATGCTTTCAAAGTTCATTCATGGTTTACATAAATCAGTAGTTTGTTCCTTTTTGTGGCTGGACAATACTCCATGGTAAGGATAAATCACATTTCGTTTATCCATTCATCTACTGATGGGCATGAGAGGCTTCCACTCTTTGGCTACGATGAATAATGCTGCCAAGAACACAAGAACATTTGTGTGAAAGTTTCTGTGTGGACGCATGTCTTTAAAGCTTTTGAGGATATACTTAGGCGTGGAATTGCAGGGCGTGTCGGCAACTCTTCATATTCCTGTACATCAAGGAATTGCCAAGCTGTTTCCGGAGCAGCTTCACCATTTTACATTCCACCAGCAACGCACGAGACTTCCAACTCCTCCACGTCCTCCTCAACACCTCTTCATTGTCTGTCTCTTCACCATTTTACATCCCCACCAGCAACGCACGAGACTTCCAACTCCTCCACGTCCTCCTCAACACCTCTTCATTGTCTGTCTCTTCACCATTTTACATCCCCCACCCCAGCCAACGCCCACGAGACTTCCCAATACTCCTCCCACCACGGACTTCCCTCCCCTCCTCAACACCTCTTCATTGTCTGTCTCTCTTCACCCCATTTTATACCATCGTCCCACCCACCAAGCAACGCACGAGACTTCCAACTCCTCCCACCTGTTCCTCCCTCAACACCACCTTCCATTCGTCTCTCTTTCATTGTCTGTCTCTTCACCATTTTACATCCCCACCAGCAACGCACGAGACTTCCAACTCCTCCACGTCCTCCTCAACACCTCTTCATTGTCTGTCTCTTCACCATTTTACATCCCCACCAGCAACGCACGAGACTTCCAACTCCACCACGTCCTCCTCAACACCTCTTCATTGTCTGTCTCTTCACCATTTTACATCCCCACCAGCAACGCACGAGACTTCCAACTCCTCCACGTCCTCCTCAACACCTCTTCATTGTCTGTCTCTTCACCATTTTACAGTCCCACCAGCAACGCACAAGACTTCCAACTCCTCCACATCCTCCTCAACACCTCTTCATTGTCTGTCTCTTCACCATTTCACACCCCCACCAGCAACGCACGAGACTTCCAACTCCTCCACGTCCTCCTCAACACCTCTTCATTGTCTGTCTCTTCACCATTTTACATCCCCACCAGCAACGCACGAGACTTCCAACTCCCCTCCCCCAACCCCTCCCCCCCCCCCCCCCCCCCTCCCCCCCCCCCCCCCCCCCTCCCCCCCCCCCCAACGCACGAGACTTCCAACTCCTCCACATCCTCCTCAACACTTCTTCATTGTCTGTCTTTTTTATTACATCCCTCTTAGTGGGTAAGAAGTACAAAGTTTTTATGAGCATTTCTCTAATGCAAATAAATGCAAATAATGTTAACCATCTTTTTTTTTTTTTAGATGGAGTCCTGCTCTGTCACCCAGGCTGGAGTACAGTGGCTGGATCTCAGCTCACTGCAAGCTCCGCCTCCCGGGTTTACACCATTCTCCTGCCTCAGCCTCCTGAGTAGCTGGGACTACAGGCGCCCACCACCACGCCTGGCTAATTTTTTGTATTTTTAGTACAGACGGGGTTTCACCGTGTTAGCCAGGATGGTCTCGATCTCCTGACCTCATGATCCGCCTGCCTCGGCCTCCCAAAGTGCTGGGATTACAGGCTTGAGCCACCGCGCCTGGCCATGTTGACCATCTTTTCATTCATTGGCTGGCCCTTTGTATTCTTCCTTGGTAAAATACCAATTAAAATCCTTTGCCCATGGTTAGATTAGAGCATCATTTTGTTATGAGTTGACAGAGCTCTTTGTGTCTTCTGGATGCAAATGCTTGACCAGAGCTACGCTCTGCCAATCATCTCTCCCATCCTGTGAATTTTCATTTTCGTAATGGTGTCCTTTGAGGAACAAAAGTTTTTAATTTTAATCTAGTCCAATTTATCTATCTTTTCCTTTGGTTGCTTATGCTTTTTATACCATATCTAAGAAAAGATCACCTAATCCAAGCTTACCATGATTCACCCCTGTGTTTTCTGCAGTCAACTCAATAAAGTATCTCCTAAGTATCTGCAGTATACTTAGTCCTCTGCTAGGCTCCATGGAGTCAGGGAGACAGGTGAGATGCCGCTTCCCAACCGAAGGAATCTGCTGTTTCACTAGGGGAAGAAGACATACAGGCAGGCCCCAAAACTGCATGGGTCCCCTAGACTCACATTGGGACACAAGAAGGGAGGCTCTGTAGGGGCGGGGCAGGAGAAACGGCCTCGATGGGAGCCGTCATCCCACGGTGAGCCAACGGCCTCCCTCGATGGGAGGAGTCATCGAAACAACACGGCTGATGGCTGGGACCTGGGGGAGGGGGAGGGGGAGGCGGGTGGGTGGGGGGCATGCTGGCAGCAGAACAGGGTCAGAGAGGCTAGAATTGGGCCACATGGCCTTGGGCCAGCACAGAAAGCTCCCGCTTGGCAGACCCACCTGTCCCACGATGTTTAAAGGAGCTCTGCACTGCATGAAGCCAGTCGGCTTAACTGCAAACACTGCCTTGGTGAGAAGAAACAAGCAAAATGGCCCCAGCTCATATTTATTTTCCTATCTGCAGCAAATTATGGCAATAATCTAAGGTTCATTCAATGCTCCACGAGCAGAGGGCCACATACTTTTTTGAGTTGCTAACACTTTAAGTTGAAGCTATTTCTTTTCTTTTTTTTTTTTTTTTTTTTTTGTTTGAGATGGTATTTCACTCTTGTCATCCATCCTGGAGTGCAATGGCACGATCTCAACTCACTGCAACCTCCGCTTCCTGGGTGCAAGTGATTCTCCTGCCTCAGCCTCCCAAGTAGCTGGGATTACAGGCACCTGCCAACACACCCAGCTAATTTTTGTATTTTTAGTAGAGACAGGGTTTCACCGTGTTGGCCAGGCTGGTCTCAAACTTCTGACCTCAAATGATCCACCTGCCTCAGCCTCCCAAAGTGCTGGGATCACAGGCGTGAGCCACTGCGCCCGGCACAAGTTGGAGTTACTTTATCCCAAGGCACAGAGCTTTGGGAAGCTGGCGCTGAAAAGATATGGGAGGATTGAGGGTTTCAGACCACAGCTTGGGTTCAGAAAAAAAGTAAAAGGGCTGAGGGAGAGGACCTGTGAACTGTTCCAGGGTCAATTCCAGGCTACAAAGGAGACTATGAATGGGCTTCCGGAAGCAGCATTTCCCTGCACCATGAAAAAGCAGCGAGGCCAGTTATGGAGGCACACAACCAGGCTGACCGCTGTAGCATGGGCAGCAAACCTGTGTTTGTTAATCCAAGACACAGAGCGGCTTCCACCTGAGCCCCCTGCTGAGCCTGCTGCAGTTCTTCTCAATACAAACCAGAGTGACCATGTAACCTTACAGCCCGCTCATTTCGTGCTCTTTCCAAAACCCTCCAAGGTTTCCATCCACTCAGATGAAAGGAGAAATTAGACGAGGCCCTCGGTGACCTCCCTGTCTCACGGCTCCTCAGACACAGCCAAGCGGAGTCCTGTTTTGAGGCCTCTGCCCGTGCCGTTCCTCAGCCTAGCCCCTTTCCTCCTCTCCTTCAGGTCTTTATGCCCACGACAGCTCAGCATGGCTGGCCCTTGCCAACACCCCCTGGAAGCCCATCCCTCCTGCAATAAATATATTACAAATATTTCTCTGCAATATTTAACGCTACATGACTCATGATCTGTTTTAATGAACATTTCACCGAAGGATAACTTGCTCACAAAGTGCCTAACCTGTCCTGGGTGTGTGGCTCAGCCTTCACCTGGGTAACCAGTGTCATCAGGACCAAGAAATACAACATCGTCAGCATCTGAGAAGCCCCTTCTGTGACTGCAGGCCCTCCCACCTGCCAAGGTCTCATTCACTTTGACCTCTGCCTCCATCCCCCAGGCGTGTCCAGCTTAGAACCTCGCATCAATGAATCTTGTAATACACTCTTTCTGTCTGGCTTCTTTTCCTTGTTTAGGCTGTCAAAAGTCACCCATGTTGTTTGTTCATTTTATTTAATGTGAACATTTCACGATTTATTTTTGCTTTTTCTACTGTTGACAGACATTTGGGTTGTTTCCGGGAGCATATATTTACTGCAAACTGCCAAACAGTTTTCTAAAATGGTTTTGAACGCTCCCACCAGAGGCACATATGGGTTCCAACAGCTCCACAGCCTTCCAACGCTGCCCTGGATACAAATACCTGACCAGACCTGTGCTCTGCCAATCCTCTCTCCCGTCCTGTGGATTTTCTTTTCAATTTCATAACGGTGTCCTTTGAAGCACAAAAGTTTTTAATTTTAATCTAGTTTAATTTTTAGTCTTAATGTAAGTTTAGTAATATATTTGTTTACTGTCATCTCTGCCTAAAATGGACAGTGCCTTAGATGCATGCCACTAGGGGACAGATTTCCAAAACATACTCAATATAGAAAACCTGCACAATTATATTGTAAATATACTTCTGCCACGCTGGAAACAACACACATTTTAATTTAACTGGGAGAAGAAAGATCAGGACTTCTCATCAGCAGCTCTCTTCTCTTTCACCTGCATCAGCAGCTCTCTTCTCTTTCACCTGCGCGGTGCTCCTGGCTGAACAGCATCAGTGGCTCAGACCCCTCATATTCTAGAACGTGAAGCACATGTAAGATAACGTTTTGTTGCTGAGATGCTACCGCAGAAGGAAAGCTCCAGGCCACCCCAGAAAACACAGTGATAACATCTTTTCCTATAAAGTTAGCTGAGTTGTGTGTGTGTGTGTGTGTGTGTGTTCCTATGTGTCAGGCACTATTTAGCAGCTCTACAGGGGTTTCTTATTGATTATCATGCAACTCCCATGAAGGTGCCATATAATCCCCATTTCGGAGAAAAGCAAACTGAAGCTAAGAAAAAACAGATAACGTACCAAAGATAAAACATGTGCTAAGTGATACGGTCAAGTTCAAACACTGTGGTTGGATTAGGGCTCGAGTTCTCACCCTCTGTCCATGCTGCCCCTCACAACCCGCATCCTGGCACCATGGTCCACACCAGTGCGCCCCTTAAGCAAGGTCAAAGGGGCTCTGCACCTGCTCGGGGCACGTGCACACAAAGGCGCGGGAGGAGGCCCTGCACCTGCTCTGGGCATGCCCACGCGCACATGGAGGCCCTGCACAGGCTCTGGGCACGCGCTGATGGAGGTGCGGGAGGTGGCCTGGCACCACAGCATGCACACACAGAGGCATGGAGGAGCACGCAGACCGTTGGGCTCACGGCTGCACCTCGGAAAACTCAGGGGCTCCTTAGTGCTGAGTCTCACTTTGCGACTGCCGAAAGGTTTGGTGCGCTGCTTAACTTTACGTTGGAAATGTAAGCGATGTTAGATGAATCACGCAATGGCTGGTGAGTTCAACTCCGTAACGACTCTGTCAAGGTTCTGGAGCTATTTGAGGTTGCACGGTGCAGGGTTCTAAGCCCTGTGACCACTTAGGACTTCTTATCTGCGCGAGTGAAGGTTTCTTCTACACAATGCAACCAAAACGGAGCCTGGAAATGAACAGATCGACTCCAGCCAGCCTCATAACCTCTCGCTTCAGATTTTGTGTTCACTAAAGTCTTACTTTTTCACTGAATTCATACTAAATAAAGTCTTGGAATTTATAAATTTATACAAATAAAATGCTTTGAGAAGAAGTTCTGTTGACAAACCCACAGAAATCATTGTTGTGGGTTCTGTAATTCCTGTGCTTGTGTGAGCTCAGGCAATCGGAAACAGCCTCCATCAGTCGCGCCGAAGGCTGCCTTGCTGGGCTGCCATACAATGCCAGGCTTTCGGGGCACTCAAAGAAATCAACTTTTTATTTAACGGAAAAAAAAAAAAAACTCAATCTGAACATTCTTGAAATGTCAGCAAAACCCGTTTATGGTATTTAGATTTCCCAGTGTCCTTCTATAATTAATTCTCCCTTGAATGAAAAAGTTTCTTTTCCCCAGTGTATCTATGGAGTGCCTTTTATTAGACCCAGATGGAGATTTCCTTTTTTACCTTCACTGCCAGAAAATGCACAGCTAAATCCATCCCAGACGTCTGCTAAAATTTTTCTCGGCTTTTTTTTTTTTAAAGTCCTCTTTTCTGTTGTGTTTAATTGTGTCAGCTACTTCAAATCCTTCCTGGAAGGGAGACTAGAAGCCCCAGCGGGCAGCCGTCTTCTCTGTCTCCTGGCGCTCCCCCTCGCCAGTCGGTATCCATGGTCCTACCGCTGACACGGCCTGCTGGAAATGGGGGCATGGGCAGAACCATGCTTACCTTTTGGGGTTGCTGCCTCAGGAGGAGGCACCTGCCACCCCACCAGGTGCCACAATGATGCCCCCCACGTGCGGCCATGAGGGCACGTGAGCCAAGTACAAGGTATAGGATAGCTTTCTGGTGACGAGAAAAACCGTATCACTGAAAAAGAGAAATATTCATATTGCTATCCACTTTGAAAACCACTAATTGATGAAAAGAAAAGTACAGAGGAGTGTGAAAGCACTGGGTCACACTTTCTAAGTATGCATTTGTTACTGATATTTATTTTTTGAGTCCAATACAGTCAGGGTTTGACTCTCCGGGCAGCCTGTGGTTCCATGGCGGTTGATGGCTGAGGTCACCGACAGGCACTGGAAACCCAATTTCTGCCCAGACTCACTTTTCCAGTTTGCAAATTAGAAATAAAGACAAGAAATTTCACTCCCGTCTTAAACTCTGGGTTACTAAAATTCCATGAAGACCAACCTCTTTCAGTCCAATATTATTGTGATTGCAACGGTTTCTTAACCAAGTTGCAGGAAAGGCCCTTTTCTCAAGTATTTTAAGGATCTTTCCCTGCCCCTCACCCACCCCCTGCACGTGCCTCATCTCAGCACCAATTAAAAGCCAAGCAGGGGGGGAACAGCTGAGCTTGCATGTCCATTCTGCTGTGAGGCCCCGTCCAGAGGGCTTAGTTTCTCAAACAAAAACTCATTATCAGCTGGAAGCAGCACAGCTAGTGAAGCTCAGGAGCACCCACTCTCCTGGTGGCTCACCGTGTCCCGTCTCCTGGTGGCTCACCGTCTCCCGTCTCCTGGTGGCTGTCTCCCATGCCCTTTTAGCTCATTAACCCAGATGAAATCATTTTCTCAATAACTAAGTAACACAAAGGCCTGGTTTAATGGTATTAATAGAAACTCAATGAGTATTTGCTTGACAAATGACCGATCAGTGAAACAGAACTGCTAATTTAAAACTGGAAAGAAAAGGAGAGAACCACTGCTAAATAATCCAAGCAGCTCTGAAGGTAAGAATCGCAGAAGTGAGTCAGAAAAATGAGATTCAGCTGTCCACCGACTTGGACAATGAACTCTTAGACAAAACAGAAACCAAAATATATAAATATAGGGTAGAGTTAATATATTTTAAATATATGATTTTTCCCCCCTAAAGTAGTCTCTCTTTGCGTAGACTAATGCATTTTATAAGGAAAGGAAAAAAATTCTGTGCAATACTCCTTCACTTGTGATCCACACTTGTGACTTTAATGTGATAATGTGGGCCTACCTCGAAGATTCTAGATTTAACAAACCATTCAACCTGTTAGCTTTTCAGCAAAAAGCCAGTCAACAATAAAACTAGGCTCAACAGCTCAACTCTTAACCAAAAGACATGAAATACAAGTGAAAATATGTCAAAGGTGTTTTAAATTGTTAATATCCAGTGTTAGTAACAGCAGTGAAACTTAACACCTGAAGCTTTCGCATTCCTGCCTAGAAGAATCTCTGCATCAAAAAAGCTCTACAGTTCGATTCATCCCGTCCCCACTGTGGATCCTGCATCTGCACAGTAGGATCCTGTATGTGCCCTGCACGCTCTCTGCGCCTGAATCCTCCACCCACCGCTCATTTTTAAGTAAAGCGGAGATGCTGTACCCCGCGCCCTGTGCCCTCAAGCCATACTCAGCTTCCCCTCTCTGCTTTTGTGGGGAAGAGCACGGACAAGAAGAAAAACAGATGCCTTGTTAAACATTAATAGTGTTTGCCTGTATAGTTAACTCTTTAAGAAATGTATCATGCTTCTAATGCCCAATTTAACAATGAAATGTATGTTTAGAAGAAAAGCATGTACAGAAATTTTTAGATAAATAACATGTAAACCTGTGTCTATTGCTCCAACTCTAAAATAGAAGGGTTTTAATTAAAACTGTAATTCAACACTTGCCACCTAATAAAACATAGGCACTAATTAAACTACAGGCAGAGGCTGGGCGCAGTGACTCACACCTGTAATCACAGCACCTTGGGAGGCTGAGGCAGGTGGATCACCTGAGGTCAGGAGTTCAAGACCAGCCTGGCCAACATGGCGAAACCCCATCTCGACTAAAAGTACAAAAACTAGCCAGGCATGGTGGTGTGCATCTGCAGTCCCAGATACTCGGGAGGCTGAGGCATGAGAATCGCTTGAACCTGGGAGGCAGAGGTTGCAGGGAGGCAGAGGTTGCAGTGAGGCGAGATTGCGCCACTCCACTCCAGCCTGGGCAACAGAGCGAGACTTTGTCTCAAAATAAACAAATGAACAAAGTAGAGGCAGATATAGTCATAAAATAAATTTGTAAGTGCTTTTTATTATCAAGTTTAATCACAAAGGCCAGAAGAGAAAATAGGGAGAGATGCAGCTGGAGAGAGATGGAGCAGGAGAGAGACGGAGCTGGAGAGAGACGGAGCTGGAGAGAGACGGAGCTGGAGAGAGACGGAGCAGGAGAGAGACGGAGCTGGAGAGAGGTGGAGCTGGAGAGAGACGGAGCTGGAGAGAGACGGAGCTGGAGAGAGACGGAGCTGGAGAGAG